TAACTACATTTGTTTTTTAGCACAAAGGTGCGCTGGGAGATGTCAACTCATACGATCTGCTGGAAGAGTGGCACCAATTATTATCAGAAACTGCCAAGAAGAGTTTCAGCACTTCCTCACCTTCAAAGAGCCAATCGTATATGGTCGCATAGCAAACTCGCTGCCAGAACACCCCCTAGTTCGGGTATGAAAGAATCGACAGAGCATATTATAAGAAAGAATGAAAATCTACATTTGTCAGTATTTGAGCCTCGTCCCTTTTTGTGTAATAAAATCTGGGATATCGATTCGTTTTCATCTCTAGTTCTACAAAAAGTTGATTTCATCTTGATTCTACTGTGTCAGTGAAACCAAAAGTTTGAAATAATGATTATTTTCAGTTAATTTCTATAGTACCCTTCATTACTGACAATGTACACCATTAATAACAAAACTCCCGATTCCCTTGAATCCGGTCTTTGCTTTTATATTTTAGAATAAATATATTTTGGTGAAAGATGTTTCTGACCATTTTGACAAGTTGAACTCAATGGCAACATATGACACTCCGAATGTGCGCAGCAACGCGGCTGGTTACAGTGTATATGCCATGGGCCAGCCCTCCCTGCAGGGGATTAACAATATCCTGTGCAAATTAACACAGGATAATATGGAGGTAATGACGTGTGTGTGTGTGTGTATATATATATATATATATATATATATATATATATATATATATATATTTCACATTTTGAAAAAAATCTACTATATCATATTATTCATTACCGTTTCAGATGTGTTAAAAAACATACAAGTAGGTTCATAATGTGACTTTTTCAACTTTTATATAAAGCTTTTGGTTCTTCGTCGTCTGGATATTTCCCAGTAACATTTGTCGTTAGTTTCCTGTTAATGAAGCTTAATCCAACAACGACATGCAATAAGATATACAATATGTTGGTGTTTACTTAATTCTGGTATATTGCATAAAGGTCCCTGAGACCAATATGTAACAATGATTATGGTTTTGTGTAATGGAAAACTAGCGTCGATGTTAATCGTCTTAGTTCCAGGGAAGAGGTGGGAGCACCTGGCAATTTACAACATTACTGTCACCTGGCACAAATGACTTAACTCATTTGACAGACTACGGAGATAAAATGCTATAAATATTGTTTTCTTCGGGTTACATAATAGACTCGTATTGGGGTAAAAATGCCATTTTCGGTCACCACAGCACCTATAAATTCAATCTTAATTTATTGTGTTTGTGACAGTTATTGAAAGGGGCTTCTAAGGAATGTCTCGAGATTTTTTAAAGTTGCATTTCATATTTCATCAACAAAAATAGGAAATTAGCCCTCTCTTTGATGATTTTTTTCTGTCTTCTCGGTCAAGTCTCTGGATCACAAGGCTTAATCAAAAGTCGTAGACATTGTTTTGTTTGATATAACGAGATGGCACAAATTTTATTATTTTAATAATTTTAACATTTACAAATGTACAAATAAATATGGTCCAATTGAAAAAAAACTAAACGACGTTTTCTAAAAGCAATTTTATTTATCCATTCCCAGGTCCTTTTCTTTTGTTTGCGGGAAGACCCAGTCTTTTTTGTGCAAGATAATGTTAAAAAGAACAGTATACCGTTTTCGCTTCGACATATTGACAATCCACACGAGGACATTGAGCATGAATGTCACACTCCTGAGACGATGGCGGACTTAGAAGCAGATATAAGAAAAGAGGTTGATTATCAGGAAAAGTTGTACTGCTGTTCATGTTTGATAAACGATTTTAAGAACATATTTGTTTTAGGTATACACTGAAATTACACAATTTGTATTTTAAACATAATAACATTTTTCCTAACCGTTAATTTTTAAAGTATATTTATTATTATTATAACTGAGATGTAAATTTATCATTTTTTCCTCTTTCAGATCATAGAATTGGGAAGTTTGAGAGACGATGGATGCTTCTTTTTCTACACTGATTTGAAGAACTTAACGTGTAAACCCCAGATGCTCTGCGTGTCCCACGAGGACTTCATTACATCCAGCGAAGAGGTCTACTCAAGACTTACCTTTTACAACCCGCTGATCAGGTGTGTCTGTTCGTGTATGTTTCAGTGTTTGTAGACCCACTGGTATGTGCGCATGAATGCAAGGCCTTGTTTTAACGGGTGCGAGTGCAGCACATATGTAAGTAGTGTCGTGGGTTTGTTTGTTTCTGTTGGCGTGCCTGTTTACCTTGTGTGCGTGCGTGCATTGAATTGATTGATGCGTACGGAGCTTTGTAAGTATCACATTAACTTTTTTCTATTTTCATTTAAGTTTTATTTTATGGAATTTTCACCGCTGCTTTTAAGTGGGTCGGCTATATTTAGTCTGCGGATCTGTTAGTCCGTGGATCAACTTGTTCTGAAAGCGCTGGTAGCATATGGCCTGCATAATCTATGGGATAAATAGCTTTATTTTAATATACTGAAAAATATATGTGATTTTCCTCTTTTGAAGACAATATTGTCTGTATGGTACAGAAACAAACAGTATTTTGTAGTACAAAGGAATACATCAGTTATAGTCCAAGAAATTGGTGCAGAAAAAATGGTGAATTGTGCGTTTTTTACCTACAAGCATGAAATTTGCCACAGTTGTAGATAATGGAATTCTAAGCTTTTTTGGATATATGGGCATGTCTGAAAATTTCAGTATGGCCGCCAAATCCAATATGGCCGCCACAAATACTCTTTTAAATAAAAAAATTTAATATATAGTCCCAAAATGGTTTAAAATATCATTTTATAGCTGGAAAATATCATGCTATGAATGAATTATCAATATCCGCTTCTACAGGTGTATACAATTCCAAAATGGCCTCCAAAAGTAAAATAAGCNTTAGATGATTGCAGATATTTGTTTTGTAGATATGGACGACTCTGTTTTCACCCCGAGGGTGCCCCGTCTGAAGCTGATTTTGACTCAATACTCAAACTGTATAAGGTAAGACCTGTGAGATGGTAGTTATTTCCTTTTTTGCTGTCTTTAAAGAACGCAGGATAATGGGTTGACCAGCGATTGTATTTTGTGTACACGTTCAGGGATGCTACTTAATTATTTTGCAATAACGCTCGAACTTAGCAAACAGCACACACAAAAATCCTGCATCAGTACATCTTACTGATTACACTCATCATTAACTTGATTTATTGAAAATACAAATCCGTGCTTAGTCCTAATTAAATTAGGTTGTGACAGTCACCTTTTTGACGCGCTATGTAACTGGTGTAAGGCGAATACATGCATATTACACAAGAACGTTATAACTTATATGTATATGAAGCGGTTTACAAGGAATATTTGGACTATCCACTTCGATTAGTGTGTGTGTGTGTGTGTGTGTGTGTGTGTGTGTGTGTAACACTTTGAATATAATCCAACCCATTCTTGTATGGTGCCACTAAGGACGCGATACATGGACAAGGGGCCAAGCGTCCAAGGGCGTTGGTGTTTGCAGGTCACACGGGAGTTTCGCGGTCGACATTGGGATCCGTGATAGGCTGCCTTCTTCTGGCACACGAGCATGGCTTTCGGACAATATTGTGAGTTTTATTTATTTATTTATTTATTTTAAGTGTTTCATCTCCCCATACAGTTGTTGGAGTTTTAAAGGTTTTAAAGAATTTGTAGTAGTTTCACAAGTTTCAAAGAATAATAGAAAAGAAAAGAAGGATTTCAGTGACAGTTCCGAGAGTAAGAGCACCTCGTTCGATTGTCGTCTTCTCTGTTTTAACAATACTAATCAATGAGAATTAGAAAGTACTTCCTTTCCAACTCCAACTTCTTTTGGAACCGTGAACGTTTTTTCAGAGTTTCGCATTCGGTGCCCGAGCCCTCCAAACGCTCGCGTTGGCATTATGCGGTCATTGAGGAGTTGGTGCATTACTTTCCAAATGGAAGAAACTATAAAATAGAGGCGAGTATAATCATTCTTTTATTTTAAAGGTGTAGTCCTGTTTTGGAATGTTCTGTGGTACTCTAAATGATGAATAATCGACTTTAAGAGACTTTTTTGCACAAAAATTAATCTTAGGTCTCCAAAACCATAAAAAAACGGGTATAGGCCCGTGCTGTCAACTATCACTCCATTTTAGCAGGTTATACAGTGTAAGTTGAAAAAAAATTAATTCGAAATGGCGTATCATAAAAATTTTGATTAACAATATGGTGCTTATTCACCTGTCCCCACACATTTCATTTTTGCAACACTTACGTATTTTAATTGAAAGCTTTGATTGTGAACATGACCTAAAGAATCCTGTAAATCCCTTGGCCTGTGAAGATACGTCACCCAGTCGTATTTTACACAGGTAAAAGCTTTTTTAAAGATATTACTGGACTTGTTAATTTAGTCTAATTGATGACGTTCCGCCTCCCACTCGGAAACTTCAGCCGAGCTACTGAGAATAAACAGGTGGGATGGAGGTTCCACCTGTAAAATATGGGTCAGGGTGGTCACACATTTGCCGCGAAGATAACATAACAAGACTAGCAGTTGTTCTACCAGTATTATCAGTAGACCGGCTGAAGACTGCTAGAGGGATACTCAACGTCGTCAATTCGACTTAAAGTCCCGAAATAGCTTTTAAAAGCTTTAATTGCGTGTACCTATGTGTATCATAAGATGTTTTTTTCTGAGTAGGTCGATACCATGATCAACATGTGTGGGAGACTGCATCACCTTATCGACAAGCTGAACGACGCCAGAGAAACTCTAGAAAATGTAACCGAAGATTACACGGTCGATGTAAGATATCTGTGAGGAATTCAGTCACACACACACACACACACACATGCACGCACGTACATGCATTTTCCTACGAGTGTTTTTCTTATTCATGATATAAAAAAGTAAAATAAACTGACAAAATCTATGAATAAGCTTAGAATTTATTACGGATATAATGGATATAATTCAACATTTATTGTTTGTGGCGTTTTACGCCAATTTTTTACCGACTTTCATTGACTCACAGAAACTAAATTCCTCGTATGTTTCATATTTTGCTTTCTATCAGGGTGAAAGCGCAAGACTGCGATTCCACAATCGCTGTAAGAGATATCTGGAGCGGTACTTCTACCTGATATGCTTCAACGCATATCTTCATGACCAGGTAAAAAAAAAAAAAAACGCCGGAGGGCGATAGGCTAGAATGAATGATTACATCTGTTCACTGTTAAAGTAAACTGAATCTGAGTAATAAAGATAAAAAAAAGAAACAAAAAAGTGACGATGAACGGAAAAGAGCTAATGGTTGGATTGGAATAACAGACACTATCGCACATGGTGCACAATCATAATTATTATTATGCCATAATCTTACAAAGAAAAATGTCTCTGAGAAGCATGCTTTTAAATATCGAACATTCATTTACCTCCTTTACGTTTGGCTTTTTCCTTTTATTCAAAATTTGAAAATTGCTTTCTTATCATATATATATATAATTTGTAAAGTATTATTTATGTAATCAATGGACATACCTTGATGATATATGTGTAGCCAAAACTGGTTATGGTTGTGCTAAGCTGTTCTTGAAAATGTTATTTAGTATTCTTTATTTGCACTGCGTCTTCGTCCACTTTTTCATTTTGACTTTTATTTTTCTTATATTTTGACTTATATTTTTCCAGGGACTATATGACACACTCAAATCTATGTCTTATGGTTTTGTTTTAGTATGGTTTCAGGTTCCACACCAGTTTCAGCCAATGGATGCGTGACAACCCCATGTTATACAGGCTTCTTGGACAACTAGATATATCTGAGAGAACGACAAAGCCCAGTTTACTCTTAGATAATACGCGCTACTTGGTTAGTGTTTAGGCTTGTTTGGTAATTGTCACTGGGAATTGATTTCTTCTTACGGTTAAGGTGCATTGGGAATTGCGAGATAATGACTCATATTGTCTATGAAGAGCATTGGCAGTGTGAGATAATGATTCATGTTGTCGATGGTCTACTTAGACGATACAAGGGAGAGTGAGATTAATATCAATGTGAAGAATTTACACAAAATCGTGTGCATTTATACTGTATATATATGGAATGAGGAATACACATTCAAGGTAGGCTACTTTGATATGAACGTTCTCGATTCTTTTCAAGTCTCAACCCAGCAGGCATAGTTGCGTTGAATCAACGTTGAAAACAGGTTGATACGTTGAATTGCCGTTGATCTTCCTTAATTCAACGTAAAATCAACGTTGATCCAGCCACGTCGAAACACCGTCATAATGTGACGTTGACTCAACGTTGTATTTTGGTAAATGACACAACCTTGCAGTTGTAATTTAAAATATTAATTATTGAAAACGTGATACTTTGTTTATCAATATTGTAACTAAATTTATCAAAATAATAACAAAATGGTTTTAAAGTAAAAATGACAGTTGTTTTGTGTCTTTAGTTGACTAGTGAATTTTCTTAACTTGTTATTCAGAAATACATTCCAATAAACTGCATTCCTTGCAAGGTCAGCTAACACTAGGATGAATAAATTGCTGTAAATGAGGAGTGAATTAATAAAGTTAACAGTTCTTGGTAACCTGTTATAGATAGACAGGTTGAGGTGACTGTGACCTAGTGTTATATATATATATATATATATATATATATATATATTAATCTAAACCTCGGAAATTTTAACATAAAGGTCATACATTAATACCCTACATATATTTAGCCATCAAACATGTCCTACTGCTAAACACATCCAGGCTAATTTCCTGCTGGGTGGGGTTGATATAACATTGTTTTCTGACGTTGATACAACGTTGTTATCTGAGGTTGACACAACTTTCAAATCCAACGTTTATTCAATATCTTCTCAACGTTATGGTTCAACGTTGTTTCAACGTTAAAACAACATAATTTGCCCGCTGGGATAGCCGCTGTCACAGCAAAACTAAAGCAGCGATTCTTACAAGATAATAAATTTACCCACCAGATACAAATTCCTAATGACCATTTCATTTAGATAAGGGATATATGTCAAAGCTTCTTCCGCTAATTATTCCAAGCAAAATTATGATTCATGTCAGTATAGCTCAACAGATTTGCACTATAATTTATATTTGTAAGTGCAATATCTTGTTTGCCAATTTATTGGGTTTCACTTTATGCAGTAATATTACCATATTTCACATACAAATCAGTCTCGTGAAATCACTTACACGGCAGTAAGGCAATATCACTAACAAGCCAGCCACGTAATAACATATACAATCATGAAACACCGCGTGCCATGTATCTGTATAAATTAATGTGAGTAATCTTCGTGTGCCTACAGGTAGCAGATGACCACGTGGGGTTAGACGTCCTGAGCACTAAACTGGACGTGTCTGTGTCAAACTTCAGAGATATCAAGAAGATTCCTGTTTACGGCATGGCTCAACCAAATAAAGAGGTAAAAACATATTTTTGAGAAAGATCAGCTTGACCTGCAACCCATCAATCTTGTATCAAGAAATTAGAGTTGGGTAAGAAAGGAAAGTTTGAAACAAAACGGCAAAACAAAGAATAATTTTTTTAACATAATAATAATAATAATAGTAGTAGTAGTAGTAGTAGTAGTAGTAGTAGTAGTAGGCCCTGTAGTAGAAGTTGTTGTAGGAGTAATAGTAGTCAATATACCATTTCTGAGACTTTTAATCCAGGGCCTCAAATTGGTAATACAACGGTTGACAAGCAGTCCAAAAAAGCACCCTGTAGTTCTGGTAGTAAACGTGCGTGACGATCTGGCGATCCAGTGCGGGGAAAATACGTACTGCTGGAGAGAGGAAGCATTTCTGGATGTGCCGATCTCCATGGATGGTATATCTGACACGGAGATAGAGGTTATTTACTTTTTCATAGCAAACGGCCAGTCC